GGGGGTTGGGGGTGCAGGGGGCTCCTGGGATCGGGGGTTGGGGGGTGCAGGGGGCCTGGGGGTTGTGGGGTGCTCTTTGGGAGCGGGGGTGTCTTGGGTGTGGGTTGCAAAGGGGGGTCCTGAGCTCAGGGAGGGGGTACGGGGCACCACGCTGCTCCCAGTCTGACCCTGGCCCCAGGGGCACCCCGAATTCCCCTTGTCCCAGACACCGCCGACACTCGATGGCTTCGGGGCCGGGGTTGGAGGGGCGGTCAGGTTTCTCTGCTGCTCCGGGACCCCCGGTGATGGATCTGCTCTCCCAGAAATGCCCGAGGTGTGTGTGGGATGCCGGGGGTCCCACCTCCCCGACCCTGAACTCCCGGCCGGAACCCAAGCAAGATCCTGAGCGCAGCCCGAGGGAGAAGAAGGGGGGGCTGGGGGAGCAGAGGGGTGCCAATTAAACTGCAAATTAGCTGCGGTTCATCAGCAGGAGGTCCCGTCCACCCACGTCCCCCGCGGAACTGAGGCATCGATCGGCTGCAGCTGCAGCGCAAGCCCTTAACCCTTTCCCCGCCCGATCCCCTTTGTGCTGCTGGGAGGGGCGGGTTCGCTCTGAGCCCCCTTTGCTCGCCCTGCCCGGGCTCCTGAGAGGGACTGTCGCCTGGGTGGCCCCAGTGCCACCCGCGGGCGTGCAGTGCCACCTTCCCTGGGCTCGGTGTTTCCCACGGACATACCGCTGTCCGCGTCCCCGTCAGTGTCCGTGTGCCGCTGGTGTCCGTGGCCGTGTCCTCTCCGGGGTCCGTGTCCCTGCCAGCGTCGCCGTCCCCGCCGGCACCCGCAGCACGGCACAGGGGCGGAGGGAGCGCCGGGGGCAGAGCCGCGGGCTGGCCACGGGGACGTCCCCGGCCCTTGGCTCCCGCGGAGGCCGGGGAAGGGGTCGCCTGGACAGCTCCGAGTGACCGTGACAGAGCTGCTCCCCGCCCCAGAGCAGCAGGGATGGTGGTCCGGGGGCGAGCGGGCAGCTGGACTGGCGGCCACCTCTGGGGACCCGGAGGCGCGGGCGTGCACAGGTGTGACGTGTGGCTGTGCACACCGGCTGAGCGTGAATCCGTGTGCGCTGCCTGCGTGCTCCTGCTGAGCTCTGCCCTGGCTGCTCTGAGGTGCCCATTGCCAGGACACCGCGCCCGTGCCTCAGTTTCCCCAGCAGCACAGGGAGGGGGCTGCTATCCCCTGCCGGCTCCTGGGTCCAGCTCCATCTCTCCAGGGCTCCCCCAGCCCGCGGGGCGATGCCCTGGCACAGGTCGCTATGGTGAGCCAGCTCTCAGCACAGCTGCTCCCTCACCTCACCACACACTGGGAGATGCCACCCTGTCCCTTGGCGACCTCCAGAACCTGCCCCATGGTCCCCCGTGTCCCCCATGGTCACCTCACCGCCGTGAGCAGCCGCCCGGGCTGGCTCGGTGCGGGCGGCGCGCCGGGCACACGCTCCCGCAGGCTGTTGTTTATCGGGCCGCTGGTGAAATGAGGACGCGCTGAGCCGTGAACCGGCTGTGCCGTGCCGGGGGCCCTGTCCGCCGCGCCCCCGCGGTGCACGGGCTCCCGCCCGAGCCGGGCCCTCTGTTGGCACCGCGATTTTGGGGGTCCCGTGCCCAGCAGGGGCACAGGGCTTGAGCATCGCCCACCTGCCCGACTCTGCAAGGGGTCAGGGAGCCCCAGCAGTGCGGCATGGGGGTGATCGGTGTCTTGTCCTGAGTATCCACGCCCATAGGTCAAAGACAGATGTGATCCCGCCCCCTCGGCAGCTGAGGCAACATCTGCCCACGCTCAACATCTGGAAAGCGTGTCTAAGCCCGTGTTCAAACCGCTGTGCAGGGGACGGGGCTCCTCGACAGTGGGTAAGGGGCTGCTGTGCCCTTGCCGAGCTGTGCTCCTCCTCTGTGGGATGTCCCCCCGCCTGGAGTCCTGCTCCTGGGTCCCCACCCCATGGTGCCACCGGGCCACGGCCCAAGTGGTGTTGGCACCACTTGGCTGACACCCGCTGCCCCTGCCCTGCTCACCCTGCATCACCCCAGCCCGCAGCTGTGGCGCTGGGGCTTTGGGGGGCCCCAGCCCCGTGGCAAAGCCCCCCAAGAGGTGTCGAGGCGGGCGGCGGGCCAGGGAGGCCGCGCAGGGCGCACGGGCGGCCTCTTGGCTGCAAAGGCTGGGAAAAGGGCAGGCAGTTCCTGCCGGCAGCGCGGATGCCATGGTGATGGGCTGCTGCCGGCATGAATACCCATGAGCCGGGGGGAGCGGGAGGCCACCGAGCTGTGCCCTGAATGCAAAGACCCCGGCACAAAGGGCCGCGGCCACGCGTGGGGCTCCGGCGCGGCGGTGCCAGCAGCAGGTGCCACACGGCGACATCCCCGCGCCGCAGCACCCCGGGGTGCGGGCCGGGGTCCGGGTGGGATGCGGGAGGCTGGAAGCCGTTCCCGTGGCAACGGCCGGTCCCAATTTCCACCAATCGATGCGGCGGCGCGGGTGCGTGGCCTACATAAGCCCCGGGCGCGCAGCGTGCGCCGCACCCGGCAGATGCGCCTGCGACGCCATGGCCAGGCTGACCGGCACCCGGGCCCTGGCCACCCGCCGCTGGGGCTGTGCCGCCGCCTTCCTCCTCCTCCTCTTCACCGTGCAAGCCGGTAAGGGTGGCCGTGGCGGGGGGAGGCGCGGAGGATCCCCGAGCCGTGGGTGCGGCTGCCCTCGCCGGGTGCCGGGGTGCGGCTCGGCGGCTGATGGAAGCTGAGCGCGGCTCTGCGGCTGCCGTCGGGGCGCCGGGAGGGGATGGAAGTGGCTCCTGGACGTGCTGCGCTCTCGGAGCCGGGCTGTGCTCGCTGGTGGGTGCCCAGGGAAGGCTCGGTGCCGCCGGCAGACAAGTCCAGCACCGCGGGGTACAGGGCGCCTGCTCCCCCTCCTCATCCCCGCTCCCCTTCCTCATCCCCCGGCCTTAAGCCGGTGCTGGGAAGGGTAATCCGTCGGCAAGACAGGATTTGAGAGGCAAGATGGATTTGAGACAGACGGGGCCAAATTCCCCCTGGGGGAAGGATGCTCTGAGGAGCGGGTGGGAGTGATGTCAGGAGGGAGAAGAGGAGAGGAAAGAAGGATCCCAGTGCCCACAGGAGCATGGAGATCCCTGTTCCACATTCCCAGATCCATCTCCAGTCCCTGTTGGCATCCCAGCACGGACCTGAAGGGACACCAAGGCAGCTGGTGTCCCCAGGCTGCTCGGGACCCCATTCCTGGCTGCGGGGCAGAGCATGCCTGGCTCCCCACACCCACGGGGTCTCTGTCCCCCCACGTATCCATCCGGGATGTGAGGGATCAGGGCAATGCCCGGGGCTCCCTCTGCCCACAGCAGGGACGGGATCAGGACAGGCAGACTGGGCTGAGAGCCAGTGCTGCCGGCACCCGCCCATTTCCCAGCACACCCCAGCCTGGGACATGGTGGTCTCAGCCCTTCTGCTGCAGAAAGGCAGTTTTTTGGCTCTCAGGGACACAAATGTCCCCATGTCCTTTGTTCCCCCATGCTCCCTTGGCACCAGCAACCCTTTGGCACTGGGGGAGCGGAGGCAGGAGGTGCACAGCCCCCCCAGTAACCCCACCTCACCTCAGTGCCTGGCACTGGGGTGCAGCTCGGGGATGGTCCCATCTCCCTGCAGCCCAAAAAGGCGACTTTAGCGGGGACTCCACGGCAGCCACCATCAACCACTCGCTGACGCTGCTGCAGCGGCTGCAGGAGCTGCTGCAGAACGGCAATGGCAGCGACTCGGTGCTGCGGGTCCGCTCGGCCACCTCCGAGGAGCCCAAGGTGTTCCACACGCACCAGCTGCTGCTGAGCCTCCAGAGCGAGGTCTTCGAGAGCCTCCTGCGCAACCAGAGCGTCGTGACCCTGTACGAGCCGCCCGAGACCGCCGCGCTCTTCGAGAAGTTCATCAGGTGCGTGGGGACCCCGTGGGATGGGGAGGTTGGGAGGATGCAGCTCTCCTGGGAACCATGGGGAACTCCTCGGGATGGGGATGCCCAGAGGACAAGGAAGAGAGGAACCACAGGGGTCTCATGGGATGTACGTTTTGGGGAGGATGTACATTTTGGGAAGGATGTACGTTTTGGGAAGGATGTACGTTTTGGGAAGGATGCAGCCCAGGAGGGAGGATTCTCCCCTGGTGACCATGGAGGTGCTGTGGGATGGATATACCTGGAGGGATGCAGCCAAAGAAGGTGGATGCCCCACTACGGACTTCATGGGATGCAGCCAGGGAAGGAGGATGCTCCCCTGGGGACCATGGAGATCATATGGAATGGGAGGGAAGCATCCAAGGAGGGGGAATGCTTCCCTGGGAACCCCGGGGGCCCCTTGGGGTGGGAATACTCAGTGGAAAGAAACCCAAGGCAGAGGCTGCTCCCCTGGGAACTGAGCTGCCAGGGATGGATGTCCCCAATGTCACCACCCCACGCTCTGCCCCAGGTACCTGTACTGCGGGGGGGTCTCCATCCTGCTGCACCAGGCCATCCCCATGCACCAGCTGGCCAGCAAGTACCGGGTCTGGGGGCTGCAGCGCGGCGTGGCCGAATACATGAGGACCCACCTGGCCAGCGAGTCGAGCCAGGGCCACGTGGTGGGCTGGTACCACTACGCCGTGCGCGTCGGGGACGCGGCGCTGCAGGAGAGCTGCCTCCAGTTCCTGGCCTGGAACCTGTCTGCGGTGCTGGGCAGCGCCGAGTGGGGCTCGGTGAGCGTGGAGCTGCTGCTGCTGCTGCTGGAGCGCTCCGACCTGGTGCTGCACAGCGAGCTGGAGCTCTACACCGCCGTGGAGGGCTGGCTGAGCCGCCGGCAGCCCGAGGCGCCCGTGGCCGAGCGGGTGCTGCGCGCCATCCGCTACCCCATGATCGCGCCCAGCCAGCTGTTCCGGCTGCAGGCGCAGTCGGCGGTGCTGGCGCGGCACCGAGGCGCGGTGCAGGACCTGCTCTTCCAGGCCTTCCAGTTCCACGCTGCCTCCCCGCTCCACTTCGCCAAGTACTTTGACGTCAACTGCAGCATGTTCCTGCCCCGCAACTACCTCGCGCCCAGCTGGGGCTCCCAGTGGGTCATCACCAACCCGGCGCGGGACGACCGCAGCACCAGCTTCCAGACCCAGCTGGGGCCCAGCAGCCACGACGCCGGCAAGAGGGTGACCTGGAACGTGCTGTTCTCGCCGCGCTGGCTGCCCGTCAGCCTGCGCCCCGTCTACTCGGACTCGCTGGCGGGCGCCATCCAGCCCGTGCGCATCGAGGACGGACGCCCGCGCCTCGTCATCACCCCAGCCACGAGCAGCCCCGACTTCGCCGGCGTCAGCTTCCAGAAGACCGTGCTGGTGGGCGTGCGGCAGCAGGGCCACGTGCTGGTCAAACACGCCTACAGCTTCCACCAGAGCTCGGACGAGGCGGCCGATTTCCTGGTGCACGCCGACCTGCAGAAACGCAACTCCGAGTACCTCATCGACAACTCCCTGCACCTGCACATCATCATCAAGCCTGTCTACCACTCCCTCATCAAGGTGAAGAAGTAATGAGATGCAGCTGGATCCTGCCATGCTGGCCCCAGCACCACGGGGGGGAACGCTTGGTCCCGTAGGTAGATGGGGGTCCCCTCGCTGGGGGGCTCCAGGACTGAGCTCTGCACTGCCCACCCCTCCCTGAGTGTTCCCTGCCACGTCCCGTCCCCATCGCTGTCCCTGGGGATGGAGGATGCTGGGAGCACCCCAGACCCATGTAGGGGGTGCAGGAGGTGAAATGTGCGGCCCATGGACACATCACAGACCCGAACGGGTGTGGGGTGGGGACAGGGACAGCCCATCCTTCCCGTGAGGCAGCCCCAGGGTCCCTCTGTGTGGGCAGCTGGGTCCAGCTCAGGAGCAAACGGAGCTGCCCAGGCTGGGGGTGAGGGGCCCATCAGCCTCCCCCAGGGGAGGTCGGATGGGGGGCACCATCCCCTCTGGCAGTGGCAGCTGCCCCATCCCTGTCCAGGTACCCCCACCCCTTTCCTAATAAAGCAGAAAATGAGAGTGGGATGTGTGGGGCATCTTTGGGGTGACGCTGCTCCCCAGCTCAGTTCCTTCTAAGGGAGCTCCTGGAAGGAGCACACCCATCCATTCATGGATGCATTTCCCTGTGGGGATGTGGGTCCCTGCTTGGGATGGCTTTGGGGGGGTGATGGCCCCTGAACTCTGTCCTGGCATTGCTCACCCATGGGTGTGTTCAGCCCCCGAGCAGAACCTGGGAAAGGGTCCTGCTGGGGGCTCCCCTTCAGCCCACAGAGAGCCACCTGTGTGATGTGCCCATCGCTGTGACAGTGCTTCGACAGTGCTGCTGGCAGCTTGTTAATGATTAAT